CATGCATTTTGCCACCTGTTAGCAAAGAGTTAGCTTAGCAGTTCAAACCTGTATCATTTATTGTACAATTCATTGATGCAGCTGAGTCTTTACATATACGGTGGTTTTCTAAACGCCCTTTTCCATTTTCTAGGTTAAGAAATCAACTTGATAACAATTGGCTAAGAAACTATTATTTTTCAAAATATTAATTCCTCTACGTTTCCGGTGGAACATATATAGGACTTCAAGTTACAGCTTTGAAGTTTCTGTAGCAGTAGTCTTATTTTTACGGGATGGGGTTGCTAGCCTCATTTCCAACCTGCCCTCTTTACAAGTCTTCTTACTAGCTTAGTGAGGTTTGGGAGTGTGTCGGCCTGGGATCGAACTCCGAGCCACATGCGTGGTTGGCGAGCATTCTACCAATGTGCCACGGACTCATACCCTGAAGTATACATATATATATATATATTATTTTACTGTTTTCGAGTAAATTAGATGCGGTATTATACTAAATGCTGAGAATTCCACTGTGTATCACAAGTACTGTTTTGGAACAAGGCAAATCATTACTATTATCAGTTAACTAACCAAGAAAATTATTACCACAATTCACGGGTAGAAATAATTACAAAAATTAAAACGAGTGGCTTACATAATTCACAATTTTGGGAAAATAAGGAGAGTGATTGTGAAATAAATGAGTGCCCAAATGAATTACCTAACAGGCAATCGAAGCTGAAGCATTCAGAATAATAAAATAATTTGGACAATCATAACTTGTGAAAGGCTTAGGGGGAAGGCGAATTAATCAGGTTTTCACATTTGTGTAATGATAGCTAAGATAAGGAAAGTGTTTTCACGAATTTCTTCTGAATACACAGATGTGGCTTCTTCAGGTGGATTCTGGCGGCTTAAGCTGTACGTAGAAGAAGAACTCCTAAAGCAAAATTAACACTAGTCGGAATACGATAAATAACTTTAATTTTATTATCAATATCAGCTTTATGCTCGTATTATACAAGGCGTGCCAAATCAGATCGACGAGTAGATCTTGCTTAACCATGGCGGATTATGTTCAGAAATCCAGTGATGAACCAGCCTAGTTACATGCCCAACGAAGCTAGCTCCGCACAAGCAGTCAAAATAGTAGACACATATCTAGAAAGGAGAAATTAGGTAGTTTATCCTTATTTTTTTGAACGCAAAACTGGAGTGGTTGCGAAAAAACAGCGTACCTCCACTGCAGTGAAAGCTCTTTTTATTGCATTAGTCAGGCACTGTGTTAACATTCCACTCATTTTATCATCAAGAAAGTGTATTTTTTAACAAGGGAGTCTTTGAAGTTGTGTATTCAGAAGAAATTCGAGAAAACACCTTGTTTAGCTCTTTTACAAGTTATCATTGTTTGAATTACTTCATTTTTCTGACTCTGTCTTCATTTTACTTAATTCAATTTTACATTTTCCAGTCGATTGATTGGACCAAAGTGCCCGGTCTCAGGTTGACAAAGTGGCTTCTTGTGCAGATGCTTCGACGATGTCTGGGCATGTAATCATAAGTTAACTGGTGAATGATGACTAGCAGTGGAATCCAGGATGCGCATTTCATCCTATTCGGGACTTGTCAGCTGGGTGTACCTGCATTCCTTAGCAATGACGTTCCCATCGAAGCTCGAACCCAGTGCCCATAGTTTCAAACGCCAGTGTTATCCACTAGACCACTTGGACCACGATTACTCCTTATTTTTCCGGAATTATGTGTTTTTCAATCCACTTGCTCTAATCATTTCTACCCTGTAATCATTTTTATTAATTTTCTTGGTTAATTATCACTCTCTCCCTGATGTGTTAATACTGATTGATTTTTGCTAACAAACCAATCAACACTAGATTGATAAAATTCGCTTAATTTATTAAAAATCCTAAATATATCAGAGTACAGCTATAGATAAGGATCTGAGTGAAAAGTAAATATTTCTTCGCTCGACCCGTTTGTCCTCTAAAATAATTTTTCTAATTCAAAGTTTTAACCTGATCAATAAGAGAGTGTGATAGATGCAATGAATTACTTTACCCTCAGTGATTATCTCATCTTTAAGTAATAACTAATTCCATAAACTTACTATAAACCGTGCATTGACTAAATTCACTTGAAAAATTGAAGCATTCTTGTCTACAATACTTAAGTCTTTAGAACAATATCATCAATACACTATAATAAAATTATTTTTTCAAATTGCCGATTAACTTTAAAGGTATTGAAGTAAATGGAAGTTTAGGCTCCAATAATGTCTCCTAACAACATTGTATTCACTTCAAATGTGGGTTATCCCCATTAGTAGAAATATATGTGCCATCTATAGTGAAACAGTGTAACTAATATTATATGCTAGTACAAAAGAAAATACATTCTAGGATTTGGAACACTGCATAGTATTGACTGATGCCATATTATCTTAAATGTATTACATGTTCTTGCGTATTCTTTCAGACTGGTATTTGCAGACGGAATAGCTATTAAACCCATTATATCTCTATCCTCTAGAAGTGGATAACCGGAAATAAAGAACGGTACATTAAATCACCTTACGTTATGTTAAATAAAAAAATGCTTATTATTTTATTGTATACATCACCTAAAAACCATTGCGTCTTTTAACACATAACCTTTTTCGTAATGTCAACTTCACAGTGATTCGAAGTGTAAATGTTCTCATCACTTTCTGTCTATAGTGAGTTATTGTTAATTGTAATATAGACCTAGATGATGACTTGGATAGACGGAGTATTTACTATTCCCATTGGTTTAATATCCTATAAAAATACTTTTCATTTTATGTAAGTGGTCAGTAATAAGTGACTGAACCATATGAAATAGCTGTTGTCTGGCAAATTACTATTGACGGCCTTTGGATTATCACCCCCAGTATACTTCTCCTACTAATCTAGTAAGATTTAGATTGACAGGAGACCTAAATGAAAAGCTGGTATGGTGGAAAACGCATAGTTACGCATAATTCGTTAATATGACAACTGGATTTCATCACGAAGGTTGCAGTGAAATGGCTTCTGATTTACTACTTGGGTCCCGTTGCTCATCTGATAGATAACCGGATTAGTAGTTAGGTGGCTTCTAGCTTAGGTCAGGCTGGGACCTAAATTTCATCTTCGATTACCACCCAGTATATTACATAAAATCGTTAGCTTAAATAAACTTTTCATAGAACTGTCTAAGCGTATAGCTCTCCAACATTATAATTTCCTTCACGTTCCCAGTAGAACATAGGGCTTCAAGCTACAGGCTTGAAGTTTCTGCAGCAGTGTTGATGTTTACAGGATGGGGTTGCTAGCCTCATGCCCAACCTTCCCTCTTTACCAGTCTTATTACCAGGTAAGTGAGGTAAAGGAGTGCGTCTGTGGCCGGAGATCGAACCCTGGACCATGTGGATGGTCGGCGAGCATGCTAACTACTGTGCCACCAACGCATGCTCTCCAACATAATTCAGATTAATTTATTATTACCCACTTGGTTGGATTTTCGCTGCATCAATTTAATCGTCTTAACTTATCAAAAATAAATAGCAGTCAGTGAAAATCTATCAGTTCACTTTTGAATTTAAACAAGGTTAATTCTGTCATCTGACTTATGTCCAAATGATTATCGAACGTAAACAGTCAGTTAACTTCATAATTTTGTGATACCAGCGAAGTTTAATAATTCACAATTATAAATAGTTACATAAAAGCTGAATTTCATAATAGAATAAGGAATAATAATAGTATAACTGACTGGTGAAAATCCTCTACTTGTTTCTAGTATCTCTATTGATTTTAAAGTGCAAGTCAACGGTAAATATAACTGAAACTTCCTCGAAAAGAATGAAAATGTACAAGTACAGTTTTTTGGATTTATTAGGATTAAGAAATTTCATTTCCGGATTTTCAACTCCAATGTGAAGTCAGTCAGTGCTACTATAAGGATCAGAGACTAGCACTGAGCGTCATAAAGACCATCTCAAACAAACTACAGACCTTCATTACCAGTTGTCTTCGCCCAATACTCAAGATCAGATGGTCGGTCAGAAAAGATCAGCAACAGGGTGGGATCTCAGGCAATGAGCGAACCAACGTAGCAGGAACCGATTGTGAAACAAATAGGCAGGAAGAAATGGAGATGGATTGGCCATACTCTGAGGAAACCATCAAGTGAGTGACATCACTAGACAAGCCATTGCTCAAGTGGAACCCGAAAGGGAAGCGGCGAGTTGGTGGTCAGTGCAGGGGTGACTTGGAGGAGGTCATGTGAAGAGGAGATGAAAGCGTGTGGGCAGACTTGGAGCGGGGTGAAGAAGTTGGCAGAAAACCGAAGGTAATGGAGACGTTCGGCTGAAGCCCTATGTTCATCTAGGAATTAAAGGAAATAATAATAATAAGAAGAAAAAAAATTTCATTTACATTCGTGTTTATAAGACCCTCATAACTGATCTCTCTTGGTGTATCGCATTTTATAATCTACACCCTGATATTGACCTTGATTTCAGTTTGATGAGTGGTGACTTTATCATTATAGAAGGGAATCTTTTTTGTTCGAGTCATGGAGGGGTCACTAGCACTCATTGCAAAGGATTCACATATAGCTGACAGGCTGCATTGCTAGGCACCACCTATTAGACATGCATGCATTCCTCAATAACTTGTTTCGCGATAATTTAATGTCGCTTTACAAGCACATACACTGATTTACTTGTTTTACTGGTATTTTAATTTAAAATAATGGCCTGTAATTAAAGTTTAAACACATGGTAAGTGACATCAGTACATGTTTTCCACTATAATTTTCAAATATTGTTTACCATATATGTTGACATTTATATGGCGAAAATAACTTTCCAACATGAAGTTTTGATGAATAATGTCGTTGTATATAATTCTTAACTTATAAATTATCCACCATTAAAAGTACAATAAATTATATGTACATATCCTATGTGATTTATCCAATATGTTATTCATTCCAAGGATTTATGGTTGACGAGGGACAATGATGTTGACTGTGGCCGATGTAGCAGTTCAATTTACTAATCACCCCTCAAAACTGTTGGAAACCAAGTTGAAAGAGACAGCTGCTTATTCAATTTTACAGTGAATGTGCTACCATGGCAACTGAAATTATGTATATTTTTCAAAACAAAATTGATTTCCAGTCTAAGCGCTTGTGACGTTCTCATTAAAGTGCATTTCACAATAATAACAATACCTAGAGGTTGATGTAATTTAATCAACAGAAGTTAAATTCTTTTTTGGAGTTACTGTTTCAGCATAATTTCTTTTCTTGTTTTGAAAATCTTTCAAATAAATTAGTATTTTACACGAAAGAAAGACTTGTTAAAACAGGATAAGGAATACTTTACAGGCATTTTGAAAATGAAATGTTTACTGAAACTAACAGCAGACAAAAACTGGAAGTTTGTCTCATTTACTGAGAAGCGCATAAATTTCTCTATCAGTGAACAGACTTCAGTTTTTCTACGTCTTTTATATTTAGCTTCATAATCTTGCTACATGCTTGAGTAGTATAGTGAAGAAAAGAATAAAAATTGGAAACTCGAAAATGTGTATTGAGACGGTGTTGCTTTCAGTAAGATGTAAGTTATCAACTTTTGTTTTGTAGGAAAAACAAAGCAAGTTGTTTGAGAGCTTTCAGTTAAGCACACTTCAGAAATATTTATATCAATAGTTTCAAAAAGATATTGATTGCTGTAGAAAATATAATGCAATTGAATGAGTGATTCTAACTGCCATTGTAGCACGTACACCGTCCAAAGTCTGAAAATTAGGTTAATATCATCACTTCATGAGTGATTCACTCAGATGTCCTTGACTGAAATTACTGGTTAATAGTCTCAAGGTATCTAGTATGACTGACCTGTAAAGCAAATAAATCTGATAATGACAATAACAACAATCGTTTTATTACAGACAGTAATTTTATGCAACATGAATTTCTATCAATTTCACACTATAACCAAATTTACTACTTCCAAGAATAAAATTAAAAGAAATAATTACAAAATCTGTAGCTTCGACTGACTACTTCAGGGATAACCATTTGACTTATGTTGTAACTACAGAAGACAACGGTCAGGCAATAAATCGTTTATTGAGAAAATCAAGAGATATTCATAGGCTTATATACATTATTATTCGTTATTGTTAGCAGAGAAGCAACGTTTCCTGATTGGTTGTTTTCTTGCTGAAGGTTATTCTGTCATCTCTTTGTGGTCGTTCCTTTGAAAGTTAGGCCATGTATCTGCAAATCGCATTTGCACATGTTAAGTCTGCTGTGATTGGTTGATGATTTCCTCAAGCTTAAGCTTTGTTATTGGTTTTCTTATGACTTCCATTCGGGACGTAGACAATGACGTAAACTGCTGCCAATAATTTTATCTAGTAGACAGCTTTCACCACAATATTTCTCCTCTTCACTGACATACGGTTGGGAATGGGAAAAGAAGCATACGTTAGGCCGACAAGAAGAAGCTAGAAGACCTGCACCTCGTGGAAGAATTAAGAGTAAAAATCATCAACTTGAAAAAATTGACAACGAACATAGCACTTTAGGTGAACATAGATAAGACGAAAGTAATGAAGAGCAACAACAAACAGTAGTCACCGCCAGTGGGAGAAATCTAAAGGAAGTTGTCTCCTTCATTTATCTGGTCAGCATAGGTCGTTCGAATTATATGTGGGACCGAGGAAGAGATTAAAGTCAGTCTGCATACGATAGGAAAGAAAAGATGGCCGTTCATTACCCTGAAAACAGTGCTGAAATCTACAGCACTTAGCACTAGAAACAAGATCCAAATTTTTAACACCAATGTGAATTTACTAGAAGCACGCCCAACAACTGCCTCCTCTGATTTGATAAAGACGGTCAGATGGCCGGACGTCTGGGAGGATAAGGAATAAGGTAGTCTGATGGTCAGCTGACCAATCAAGAACCTATTTATCAACAAATATGCAGAAGGAAATGTCGATGAATGGACTGAACATATATTCACAAGATATTCAAGTGATATCACACACCAGGCTCTTGTGAATCCCAGGTTGGGTGTGGATACGAGTGTGATATGATGATCGTTTGAGAAATAATTGAAGTTGTATAGCCATATGATAAAGAAAGCAGAAACCAAAGTACTTTGCAGATGCTCTACTGAAGGGAAGAATAATAATATCAATGTATATTTTAATTTACATTCATTCTGTTAAGAGAAAACAATAACCGTACGGATACCTCGATATCTGGAATTACATAATGAAATATTTCTAAATTTGTACAAGGCTCTTTGTCTGCCAAACATGTACACATATTATTCCTTAGTCTATATGTTTACTCTAAAATTTAAAAGAATAAATTGAGGGCAAATTATAAGAGTAACCACAGAAATGAAACAAATGCAGAAAGACAGTGTGTTTGAGCTGGCTTTTATTTTAGAGTGATTTACACTACTGGTCATCATTAAGTGCCCAAAGAATCACTGAAAATTATAAAGTACCAAATAAATGCTTGACTTCACTTAGGTATATTCAAAAGTGATATCAGATAACTTTGTAAGGGATCAGATCTAGGATTATGAGCTTTTTTAATTTGTTCTTAGTTATACTGAATCGTAATTTAAAAGATTATTATAAGTAATGTAATAAATGAAAATTTTGTTTTGAATTTCCTGCTAGTCGTGTTTTATCGAACCGAAATGCTTGGTTGCTGTTGTCATGTCCGCTACTGATAGGCACAATTCAATATTGCCTTGTTGTTAAGCCGGTGGTATTCATTCTGTAATGCCTTGAAATCGAACCTAGAGTGCATACTTCTTCCTATTCAGGATTCGTCATTTGGCTATGCCTGCATCCTATATAAGTGATGATGTTCCCGCTGAGGTTCAAACCCAATACTCGAAGTTCCGAATGCCAATGGGGCAGCTATTGACCACAGGAGTTGTAAGCTGTGAGTACTTGTCAGTTCAAGGTTTTGAAAACACAACAGAAAAATGCGAGATGCAGTTTAAAGATGAGAATATGAATAAAAGATAAATTGTAACTAAACATGATCATATATTATGAAAGTTAATTTTTGATATTCTCTTTACAAAAAGCATTTCAACTGCAGTAATTAGAACCACACACAGCGCATCGTCATATAAGTTCTTCAGACAAACGGCTGTACTTAACACGTCATAAAATTCAGTCTGCTAATATCTCATACTGTGGTGAGAGCTGGCTGCTTACCAAATTGGTAGATAGTAATTTACGTCAATGTTTACGTCCCCAGTACTGGTCGTGAGAAAAATAAGAACAAAGACTGATTCAACAACCAGTCACAGAAGACTTTGCGTAGGCGGATACAATTTGCAGATAGATAATCTGAACTTCAATAAACGGCCACCAAGAGATGAAAGATTAACGTTCAGCGAGAAACCACCAATCAGAAGACCCTGTTTGTTTGCTTACAATAATCTATAATAATGTACATGAAAATCTATAAATATGTGTTGATTTCCTAAATGAATGATCTGTTGTGTGGCACTTGTCTTCTGTTGTTACAACACTATTATTTATCACTAAGGGAATCTTTGGTTAACCATTAAGCCTTCTTATTATTGAACGTGTTGATTGGACGTGAAAATAGTTATCGCAGCTAATTAAGTGATCTGTTTCCAATCTTTCCAGGACCTCTGTTAGCTGTTTCCCAATCAATTTAGTTTTCTTTCTTTCTTTGGAAGGTTGAGAAAATTTATTTTTGTCTGAAAATATATTCTCTATTTTCTCCAGGTATTCTTTTCGGTCCAAACGAACCACGCCAGAAACCTTGCCAGGAAGGATTACGAAGAGATCTTCGCTATCTCTCGACTATTTGACTTCTTATTTGTGCCACTGGCTTAGGTGTTTGTAGAGTTTTGTTTTTGTAGTGAAGTACATGTGACAGAAATCGCTGACTGTTAATTTGGATCGTCATAATTCTTCGTCAGAAGTCGGGATAACTACATTTGTTTGACCAATTAAATTTTCAGATTGCCAATGTTGAAGTTGATACTACAGAATTTTGGGCACAAAAACAAAGCTTCTGGCTGCGAATCAGCTAAAGACACTTAAAGGAAATTGAAAGCAAATCTTGTTGGTTCAAACTTCTTATAGCTTTATCCTTAGAAATGTAATATATTTCTATGTTTTCCTTCGTTCCTATGTGCATCCTGATTACAACTCATTCATTATTCATCTTATTACGCAACTCCACTTATTATTAGCACTGACTAACATTAATAATTATGTTTGTGACAACTCATCACTTTTGCTACTACCCTCTTTTATGAAAAACATTATGCATCAGCGCAACTGTACAGCTAAAGGAAATGAATTAGCCGAACTACGTGTTTTGTTTCCATCAGTGTCTGGATGGGAATTATTTATGAGGAGTAGTTTCATCTTTGAATTATCGTAGAATTCCTATGATAAATAAAGGATGATATGTAGTAAAAGGTGAGATGCATGATTTTCCTATCAGAATATAAGACAATGACTAAATAAGCTACTCTGGACATTACTAGTAGGGGATACGAACGACAACATGGATGTGACTTACGCGTGAAAGAACTAGTCACAACTCGGATGGTGAAAAATGATATGCGTTATACTGTAGCAACCTGCAGTAACAATCATTGTGCTGTGTTTCTACTGTGTTTGTCTTAATTTGATTTCTAAACCGTCAAACGTACAGAATATAATGAGGTTGCGATGATCCTTCTCAGGTTTCAACCTCACCTAATATACCCCTCATACCATTTGTGGCGTCTTTCTGCAAGATAACAACAAATCACGCTAACAATAACTCTTTAATTAATGAAATAGTTGTATGTGAACAGTGTTACTAAACAGAAGTTTGAAACGTGTGTATATAGACATATATGTGATGATGTGCATAGATGTAATACTAAATTCAACGTCAGATACCAGAGGGTGCGTACTGCCGATGCTTCCCAAACTGGATGAAACAGCAGCTGTACAGTACTCCCTGTTTGTTTTCAATGGTTATCTAACTGATATCAATCCGTGGTCAAACTCGTAAAAAACAAGCCTAATCCTTACAAACCAACTATTGAAAAATGAATACTGTAGTTGTGAATGCATGTGATTAACGTTGAAATTTAATTTTACGCGTTCCGATTATAAACTCCATAGGAATAAATGATAATATCAAAATGGTAAGAGACAGTGGGGTAGAAGTTTAGATGTGTGTGTGTGTGGTGTCGGCATGTAAGTGAACGAAGGATAAATTAAGAAAATAGGTCTTCTTGGACATGTGTAATTAGAAATA